GTTTTAGTTCTTACGTGCGGCAAGGACTATTAACATAGTCATGGAATTTGAATTTCCATCTTGATCTATCCTGTTCCCAGCCTTCAAAGAAAGCTTCAACACATTTTAGAAGTCCATCCAGCAATATTTCACAGTTTGCCTGATGTAGCCTTTCGAGTATGCGTATGCCGGCGCACGTACGTTTGGGGTCAAATACATGCAGAATTTCAAGGTCCATATCAAATGCATACATGATGCAATACCCTTCATTTGTTTCATGGATCACCCAAATATGCAAATAGAATGCTCATCCAGTTAATTCTAAAAAAATACTATACCATTTTGTGCAACAACAAAATAGGAATGCAAATCATATATACCAGTTGGCAAGTGTCCAAGGCATAATCATGCAGACCACCAGCAAACATCTGTCTCATCTTTGGATTCTTGATGTAATGTCCACCACCCAGCACCATAGTCTGTGTATGAGCCTTTTAAGTCTTACTCATGGGATGCCAGGTTATAAACTTCTAAAAAATGCAAACTTACCACCCATTCCTTGGGAAGTATTTTGCGCCACCTTCTGCGCTCTTCTATTCCATACCATCCGCGTTCATTTTCATCCAGCGTCCTTCTAATACACTTGTAAGTCTTGTAAATAGGCCAAACTCTTGGAAACATTCAATGAGCTCCGATCCACTAATTTTGAGCAGTGTTGGTATAGTGTGAACAAACCATAGCCTGGATAACAAGATAAAAATCTCAGTAATAATCTTAGTTCTGACCAAAAAGAAATAATATCTATTTCACCACCACCCCTTACTTTTTTGTTGTGGTTGAGTCAGAGAACAACAATCTATCATATAATTCTTTTGCTGTCCTGCGACTAGGGAATTCTATCCTTTTGTTGTAGTGGAAAGGGTTTTCCGCTAGAGGCAAATCTGAGTGAACATGTCTCTCCCTCATCAAGTAGTTCGGTTCTAATCTAGCACGTCTACCTGTATATCAGTGTTACAGGTTGTAAGAAGCTAGTTTTTTGCACAATTAAGTATCTAAATGTAAGAATAAGAACCACTCACATCTTGTTGCTGTGTAAACTATAAGCTCCTTGCCACCAGACTTTGTTTCAATATCAGCATGTGGTCTCTTTGGAGAAGCATTAACACTAATATCACTGCAGCCGGCAATGTCAATTGCATTTTGAACGCCATCTAACAATAATAATAGAAAAACTTCAGTGCATACATCCTCATACTACATTTTCACGCCGTCAATTCAGAAGTTCATGATTACCTCTATTATCAAACAGTTGTGCATCATCTATTGCAGCCTCCTTACCACGATCATCCCTTGAATTTTCCTCTCTTGGTCTCTTTGTTAAAGTGCTCTGCCCGGCGCTTGTTGTAGCCTCCTTCCCAGCATTATCTCCTGAATCATCCTTTCTATCACTCTTCTTAGAAGCAAGAACATCGCTCACACCCAACAAGGAAAGCCAACACACATTAGTTTATATTTATCATATTTTCTTCCTTAAACATGTTAGGTTAGCCCCATCATTTTACCTCCATAACTTGAAAAAGCACTCCCATTGGTTTGCTGTACAGTTCCTGTGCCTTTGATATTTTGCTCTTCTACTAGTTCTGGCCTTGCTACAGGTAGGTTCACAGGGGCTAACCTAATAGGCACATGGTTTAACACAAGTGTGCTCTGAGGTTCTCTAATATTATGGCGCACCCTGTTCCATGGTGTTCCACTAAATGATGACCTACCTCCAAACAGTCCTGTTCACAAGTGCAAGAAAGATAAATGACTTAATTTGTCTCTAATCGAGCATAAGCATAATTATTTTTCAAGTTTGATTTACCATCAAGCACTCTTGGTAGCAATGGTGCGGTGCTAGTACTAGGACCTCCAGTACCACCTGGAATTACCGAAAAAGGGTTTCCCCCCGCTTTATATTATAAAGCAATCACCACCACAATACATCCGAGCAAACAACAAAAGAAAGGAAAAGGAAAAACGGCAAAGATACACAATGCTACAGAACGACTAACGGGATTCAAATGCACCAAGCAAAGGCTTGAGCATCGAAGCCCTCAGCAAGCTCCACATCCTGCCATTGATAAGGTGAAGCCAAGGAGACTAGTCACCGTCGGAGGACGACCACACTGTCACCTTCCGTGCACCATCACTGCAGAACCGCCATCCGCCTCCGCCTCCAAAGAAGGCCCCCTGCCCTCTCGTCCTGGGCCGTAGGACGCCACGCCGTCGGTAGGCAGAGCTGCTCACCCCTGAGCACGCATAGCCGGTCCAGACGATGGTCGGGAAGGACGACAAGTACGGCGACCCCATCAAGCAGACCAATTCCTCCACCATCACATCATCTCCGACAAAGAGTATGGAGCCTGCTGCAAGCCATTGAACGAGGACACCACTGAAGATAATCGACGACCCACATGCTCAGAAGCTCACACCACCACCTCCACCGACCCAAGGCGGCGTCTTCAGGAAGAAGACGGCGCTGGAACGCCGCCGCCGCCCAAACCAGGAGATTTTGGGCTTTCACCTGGGTCACGGAGGTGGAGGGCGAGGGAGAGGATCACGATGTCGCCTTCAGGAAGGGTAGCAATGCCCGGAGCATTGCCGACATCGTGGCCGCCGACGCCGGCCAGGAGCTTCCCCCAGTCCAGAACCCACGCCCCCATCGTCCCACCCAACAGCAGGCAAGAAGGACGAGGTGCACCTAGGAGCAGAGGAGGACGCCGTCTTCAGCTCGAAGCACGGGGCCAGCGGGGAAACCCCAGCCTCGAGCCCCACGTTCGCCGCCACCTTGCTGCCCGAGCAGCCAAAGAAGGCGCCCCGCAGCATCCGCGCCAACCACCCACCGCCGGAAGGGAGGCGCGCTCACCGAAAGAGGCCGCCGCCTCAGATCCGCGCCTGCCACGCGTGGCCCGCGCGCCCGCCCCCACACGACCGCGGAGAGGGGAGGAGCCCCCAGGCGGCACGCGAGCCACCGCACCCACCAGATCCACCACCACTCCGCCCCACGGCCGCCACGCGCCACGCCGACCGGGCCTCCGCCGGATCTCGCCGCCCCCGCGCCGCCAGACCGAGCAAAGGGGAGAGACAGGCCCCGCCGCCGCCAGAGCCACGCGGGCCTAGCCCGGCGCCGCCAGCCGGCGGCGGCGGGGGGAAGGGCAGGAGAAGAGAGGGCTGGTTCCGGCGGCTAAGGTTGAGCCCCCGGGTCGCCGCGAGGGGCGACACGGGAGAGAGAGGGGTTAGCCTCGCATTAATGTCTTTTGAAACTCTGTCTCACCACCTGGAATTCACAAAATTCATTTAATAAAGAATAGATTAATTCCATACAAACAATTTAGATGCATTGACTGAAATGCTTTTTTTTTTAGAAAAGGAGGATGACCCCCGGCCTCTGCATCTGGGAGATGCATACGGCCACTTTATTGATTATTCCCGAGGACCTTACAAAGTATTACAACAATATGCCTGAATCCGCCATCTTGGCAACATATGCCACTACTCCTATCCATATGATGAAGGGGTGCTACCTGGGCCACATACCCGGTCTACTCACCTAAGCCTATCATCAAAAGCCAGAAGCCCCAGCCGAGCCACATACCGGGTCTGGGGCATAAACTGGTCTGACGCACTCACATGTGTCGCCGCCGCCATCATTCACAGGTCCGTCTTCAGAGCAGATATTGAGGCTTCTACCTTGTCAGGCCACTCCGTCATCGACGCCACCTTGACGCCAGACAACTACCTCCACCTGCGCGAGTCCATCCCCGCGCATCGGGCGCCGAGTCTCCACTGCACCACGCCGCCGAGATTCGCCGTCATCAATGAGAAGGATGAAGTACCGCTCCACCAATAAGGCACCCGATGGTCCCTCGATCCCGTGTACGCCTCCAAGAATGACGCCCCCAAGGAGGAAACGACACCAACGCGTCGCCGTCATCCGATCAACTGATCTAGGGTTTCCCCCGGAGGTAGCGGATAGAGGTCTAGAGCTTCTCCACGGCGATGCCTTCAAGAAGGTAATGACACCACAGGGTGCCACCAACGCCGGTCTTGGCAACAAGCCGAGCACAAGGTTTTCACCCGGATCCGCCGAATAACCTCCATCACGTATTGTGCGCACGGGTCTCCGCCGATCTGAGCCGCCACACATCGAGCAAGCCGCACCGGGCAGATCGGATCTGTCCGGAGGGCAAACTACGCATGGCGCCGACCCAACCACCAGGCCCTCCATGCCGCCACCGCCGATCCGAGGACAGATGGTCCGTCGCTGCAGATCCGGCCGCCACCGCCGAACGCAGCCAAGGCCGCTGCCCGACGCAGGGCCGGCCGCCGCAACCGCCACCACCACCGCCCTAGGACGAGGCCGCCGCCGCGCTGCCGCCGGTCAAGGCAGGCCCGCCACGCCACGGAGGCCAGATCAGCCGTGCCACCTCACGCCGCGGAGCTCCGCACCGTCCCCATGGCGCGGGAGAGAGGAAAGGCCCCCGCCACCGCCGTCAGCCCCCGGGCAAAGGCCGGCGGCGTCCTTCGGCGGCGGCGGAGGGAGGGATGGAAGGACGGAGAGCCCCCGGCGGCTAGGGTTGGGATCCCGCCCGAGTCGCCCGAGCTTGACTGAAATGCTAACCTGAAAGAAGCATGTTTATCATGTTTAGGTGCTTCTCTAGCCTTGGCATGTGCTTTCCAACATCATGCTCAAGAAGGTGGTTGTGCAAGTACAGCAATGTCAGCAGCTTAGTTGTCTTCTGAATCTCTCCATGGTTTGCAACCATAAAGTTTACTGACCCATCGAACATTTCGGTCCTTAGCTTCACTTATTCTAGTAACTTGTCATAAGCTAGCTTGCAATTCAGCTCCATACTTGCAATTGCGTTCCGAAGCCAAACTTCTGCCTGTCAAATTCATTCATACATCCTCTTAGTGATTTATTAACATGTGCATTAATCATCAGTAATGTTTGAAGACATGCGAACTTACTTGATCAACTATCTTCTTAATTTCATCTGACTTTCCATTCCAGAGAGCCTGGTTTTTGGCATGTCACCAATGTTTGGGCCTGTGCATGGCTTAAATCTTTCAGCCATAGTGGGCGCTGTCAGTCTAGATGATACATTGTTTGTTGGAAGTGATAGCATGACTTCATCCGCATCTGATAGACGGACAGTAGCTGGGTGCTCATTTAAAACTGTTCGAAGCTGTGATCTGCTTGCCGTTCGCTTCTGCCTCTTAAGATTGGCTAGATGCCCTTTCACACCAGGCTGCACAAAAATAAAAACAATTAGTCCACTTCCCATCATACAGATTTGGTATGAATCCTTCTTTTTCTGTCACATACTTACCCTCAACATGCCAAAAACTCTTTCTAATGTACGGTTCATGGTGTCCTTCTCAACAAGGGCAAAAAGCTTTGGTGCATTGTACTCACATATCCTAGGCCAAACCGTAGGATCTACGTTTTGATCGCCTGCATTGACTGAATCAAAATACAAGACTTGTCACCCAAAAACAGGGTCAATGACCTATATGACTGAAATCCAAAACAAACAGAGAAGCAAGGAACTTAACATTTAAACAACTATACCTGAAGATAGTAGTGGCAACCAAAGATGGTGATTCCTGGCCTCGCGTTAGCATTGACATACTGCTGAACTCTAGCTGCTCCATCAAGAATAGTTTGTCCAGTTTAATTTGTCAAGGTTTTCAGGAGCATAAGCCAGCAAATATGCATACTTTGGCACATATCCTCTCTTGTCTCTGGGACTATAGAACACTGACAGTACTAACATAGCAAAGGCAAGTTTGAACCTGATTGACTTTGGTTTGGTGAACTCATCTGGATGCTGTTCACACAAAACTTTCAAAAGGTCTGGTGTTTTAACCTCTTGGTGGTTAAGATCTAGTTAAAGCATTTTCCTAACCATGAAAATTTCTTTGGTGGTAGGCCCCTCTCTTAATCTTTGGATCTCAACCTCACCACCTTCTCTTGTCCCTAAAATGCCAGACATTGACCTCTCATTGATCTGAGCAAAATGGTTTTTCCCTAGTACCAACCTTTTCCTCCTTGTGTCTACTGATCGCAACAAGAAGAGAGAATGGTTTCAACTGAAATGAGTAAAATGATCTACATGCAGCAAACCACCTAGCCCCATTTCTCTTATCAATCTTTTAGGACTTTCACCCCATTTTGCTACTGCTATAGCAATGTCTTTAGGCGCAAAAGAGCTATTAAGAACGCTGTGACCAGTTTTAGGGATTATCCCAACATTAGGATGCAGAACAAAATCAGGAATATCTGGTTCAATGGGTGCAGGTGGTGGTAGTACTAGCTCAACATCAACATCACAAGTAGCAGCCACAACAGTAGAAACGTCCATAGGCTCGGGAATAACAACAGAGGCAGCTGCACAGCCGACCCCCATGAAATCTATTGTCCGTGTCTGAAATAAAGAAGCAAAGAACTGAATCAAACGAAAATGGTAGAAAAGAAGCATAGTTTGTAAATGGTTTTGATCAGAGCAGAGCTAATGCACAGCCAATCTAAAAGAGTCATAAACCTCTGGATAAAACAACTGAATCGCAAGAACAAAGGATGCGCGTTCTAACCTCTGGTGTATCTTCCTCCATCTTAGCCTCCTCGAGACCGGACCAGGCTTTTTCCCCCAAGGTTACTCTTTCAGTCGCTAGAAAGAGAAGGAGGAGGAAGAAGAAGGGACCGAAGCTTTTCCCCTCTGCTTTGCTGCCCTCGCGTCTCTTTCGTGGTGAAGTGCTATTTAGAGCGAGCTCATCCAGTAGCAACGGAGACCAAACGAGCCTGCTATTAACTCGTATGAATCATGGCGTGCCAGTGCAACAGGGCTGCAAATCTCTTTTTTCCAACCAGCTAGATGCATGTAGGTGTGTACCATTGGCCAGGAAAATGTGTATGAGGACGCATGCACAGCTCTCTTGCGTGCAGTATTGTACCTTTTATCTGTAGTTTAACTCACACTTTGCAGCTGTAGGATAGAGAAGAGCTGACAATTTAACCAAGCTCTAAATTTTGTGTCAGCAGGTACGTGAATGCTACTGCGTGATATCGTCTGCGGCAGCTCTCGGAGCACCAAACGCACCCAGAAACGGATCAAACGCCCCTGGACGTACATTGAAGTCTACCAGCCTACGAATAGGGCCTCGTATGAAGCAATTTCAGTAGTGATGGAGATTTTGCAATACAGCCTACTGAATCTTGCTGCGTGTGCTACAGGATATTCAGTACATCTCCATTTTGACCATGCCTACACTTCCCAACTGCCTTGGTAACAATTTTGAAAAGTTTGACATCTACCACGCTTGTAAGACCAACGTTACAGACATGGAGAAACAACAACCTTTATTACATAATACATGCATAGGAAACCATTCCCATGTACGTTTTAGTGTGGTTTAGCGTGCGGCTAATTTAACTTGTGCCTCTTGGGTTTGTGGCTGTCAACCTCATCTTCATCATCTTCTTCATATTGCTCTTCTTTACCTTCCTTAGAGCAGCAACTAGACTGATTTGTGTCAGACTCTTCCTTGCAATGCACGTTTACCACATTGCAGATTTGCTTGGCTGCAGAAACATTTACTGATGGATCATGTTCTCCCCATCATTTATCCACTGGATCTTCACAGCCATAGGTAGCTTGTTTAATTAAACCAAAAAATTCGACAGGCTGTAGAGAACAAAAACAATGATCGGTTAGCATGCCTGCGGTGCACGATTTTAAATCATGACTGATTTTTATTATGAAGCGATTAGAACAATCTAACCATTAAATCTTTAGATGCAATGTCGTTCTTTAGCACTGTTTCTTCATTTTTGCAAATCTTTGACTCAGCACAGTCCTGCACCATGAAAGCTGATATCAGGAGAGTAAACATTTTTCAAACAAAATAAATGCACCCAAATTTAATGAAATGCTAACCGAAAATGCCTCAACATCGCCATCCAAACAGCTCCCCCCCATCAAAATCAGCCCAATGCATGTGTACTGAAACTGAAGAAGATTACGCCATGCATTCTAAGCGAAAACATTGCTAAAACAAAAGATAACCATGGTACAAGTCATACCATGTCATTGCCAAGTCCGCCTAGCAACAATCCACCCTTTCCACGTTCCATTTCGCCAACTCCTTGTTTGGAACGGCCCCTGCCTTGCCAATGGGTCCTTGCTTCCTTGGCCACCCCTCCGATCCATGGCCATGTGGTTATATAGAGGATGGAATGGTGGGTGGCTCACCAAAACCAGTTCAAATTTGAAAATAATAATAACTACACCGGAGATTAATTTTGTATGGACAGAATAAATGCATAACAACATTTACTTCCCACTGCATAAAAGCATACAGAGTTCATTTTTTCAAAATGTTAGGACAACATTCTGGCATGTAACATTTTCCTAGGTGCAATGTTTGTCAGATATCTTGAGAAATAACTAAATAATGTTGATTTATCTTAAGAGATTAGCTTCCCAAACATTACTTCTTCAAATTATAAGTATTATTAATCAACAGAAGGAGACATTATGATTACAATTTGCTTGAGAACAATGAACACAACACACATTATTTAAATTCGAATACAATTTATTAAAACTATCACCCAACATTAAAAATCTTACACATGAATACATTTAAAAAAATACTATTAAGCTAACTTAAATCAACCTCTTCAACACCCACAGGTGACAGACCTGGGAATGTACTAATCCCTTCCATGAAACTTACCATTTTCTTGGAGCAGCTATTCTTCCTATGCCCAACAACTTTTGCAATTGCTACAAAGTGGTTCTTTGCGTGGTTTAACTGGCAGATCCCCCCTCTCTGGACATGTAGTATTCTTGTGTCCTTTTCCACGACAAACACTACAGAAACGTGTTCGCTCCTGTGATTCTTAATACGGCGCTTTGTCACGTGCTGTGGTTGGGTATCCTCTTTTCAGCCTCCTTTCTGGAGCTGACAAAACTTCTCTTGATGGCACTTCAGCATTGCAATTACCAATTGGCTCGATTGGGTTAACATGAGAAGAGCTGGAAACAGAGTCTTTGGACGCACTTGGGTGCTTGGTCTTCAGTGTTTTGCAAGACGCTCTGGAACCCACCGAGTTCGTCATGCTTGATGCCTTGGACTTCTCTACAACACTTAGCCCGTCTTTGTTCATGCTTAACGCCATAGCTTTCTGCTTTAAATCACAAAGTCCACTCATGACATACTCAAAAGCCTCAGGATTGCTATCACCAAGATGAACAATCTCCAATGCAGTTATGTACATTGCAGAATGCATGAATGTCATTGCATCGGTGGCCCCATGTCTCTTTGGTAATGCTTGATATGATCTGGCAAAACATCTCGGGCATCTACTGTCCATCTCTTCATTATGTCTGCTTGTGGGATTTTCTTCACATCAAGTGTTATCATAACCTACATAAAAAATTACACATTCAGAAAGGAAAGAATTTACCAAAAAAATTGTTTGTTTTGGTATTTACAAGAAGTTTTGAAATGAACCTTAAGTATATGGGAGCAAATCATCCCCATGTGCTCGTATCTTCCGCACTCGCAAGTGTATTTTGATTGGTTTGCCGCTATAATGACCTCATATTTAGTTTTTGAAGGAAATATGCCCTGGAGGCAATAATAAAGTTATTATTTATTTCCTTATATCATGATAAATGTTTATTATTCATGCTAGAATTGTATTAACCGGAAACATAATACATGTGTGAATACATAGACAATCAGAGTGTCACTAGTATGCCTCTACTTGACTAGCTCGTTAATCAAAGATGGTTATGTTTCCTAACCATAGACATGAGTTGTCATTTGATTAACGGGATCACATCATTAGGAGAATGATGTGATTGACTTGACCCATTTCGTTAGCTTAGCACTTGATCGTTTAGTTTGTTGCTATTGCTTTCTTCATGACTTATACATGTTCCTATGACTTTGAGATTATGCAACTCCCGTTTACCGGAGGAACACTTTGTGTGCCACCAAACTCACAACGTAACTGGGTGATTATAAAGGTGCTCTACAGGTGTCTCCGAAGTTACATGTTGGGTTGGCGTATTTCGAGATTAGGATTTGTCACTTCGATTGTCGGAGAGGTATCTCTGGTCCCTCTCGGTAATGCACACCACTTAAGCCTTGCAAGCATTGCAACTAATGAGTTAGTTGCGGGATGATGTATTACGGAACGAGTAAAGAGACTTGCCGGTAACGAGATTGAACTAGGTATTGAGATACCGACGATCGAATCTCGGGCAAGTAACATACCGATCACAAAGGGAACAACGTATGTTGTTATGCGGCCTGACCGATAAAGATCTTCATAGAATATGTAGGAGCCAATACGAGCATCCAGGTTCCGCTATTGGTTATTGGTCGGAGACGTGTCTCGGTCATGTCTACATAGTTCTCAAACCCGTAGGGTCCACACGCTTAAAGTTTTGGTGACGATTATATTATGAGTTTATGTGATTTGATGTACCGAAGGTAGTTCGGAGTCCCGGATGAGATCGGGGACATGACAAGGAGTCTCGAAATGGTCGAGACGTAAAGATCAATATATTGGACGACTATATTCGGACATCGGAAAGGTTCCGAGTGATTCAGGTATTTTTGGAGTACCGAGGAGTTACGGGAATTCACCGGGAGAAGTATTGGGCCTTATTGGGCCATACGGGAATAGAGAAGAGAGGCCAAAAGGAAGGAGGCGCCCCCCCCCTCTGGCCCGAATTGGACAAGGGGTGCAGCCCCTTTTTCCTTCTCCATCTCCCCCTCTTTCCTTCTCTCCTACTCCGGAAAGGAAAGGGGAATCCTACTAGGACTTGGGAGTCCTAGTAGGACTCCACACACTTGGCGCGCCCCCTCTAGGGACGGCCTCTCCCTCCCTCCTTTATATACGGGGGCAGGGGTCACCTCTAGACACAACAATTGATCTCTTGGATCTCTTAGCCGTGTGCGGTGCCCCCCTCCACCATAGTCCATCTCGATAATATCGTAGCAGTGCTTAGGCGAAGCCCTGTGTTGATAGAACATCATCATCGTCACCACGCCGTCGTGCTAACGGAACTCTCCCTCAAAGCTCGGCTGGATCGGAGTTCGAGGTATGTCATCGAGTTGAACATGTGCTGAACTCGGAGGTGCCGTACGTTCGGTACTTGGTCTGTCGGATCGTGAAGACGTATGACTACATCAACCGCGTTATGCAAACGCTTCCGCTTTCGGTCTACGAGGGTACGTGGACAACACTCTCTCCTCTCGTTGCTATGCATCACCATGATCTTGCGTGTGCGTAGGAATTTTTTTGAAATTACTACGTTCCCCAACAGTTGCATCCGAGCCTGGT